ACCTTAACACCCACTCACATCCTGGGCCATCTGACCTCAAGAAATCACATGATAGGGTGGGGCCAGGTTTCACAATGAGCTCACCCGAAACCCTGGCTAATTGGGACCCACACCCATTTTCACACCTTGGCTCAGGCGATTAGAGGCTCATCAGGGGTCCTTTTGTCCCTCTGTGGGGGGATACTCTCACTGGGTTTAAATCTGGGACTCTCCACCATTTGACCGTTAGAACTGAAGAAGCTTCTCGGATGAGAGGTGAAACGTCTTCAAGCAACTTAAAGAAGTCGCTTTTCTTTCCAAGCTCCTTAGACTACGATGACCTGGATGACTGAGAACCTTCACAGACATAGGCGATAACCCAAACCCTGCGAAAAACGTATATTCTAGTGAAAGGCAAAACTGACTTTTTGGGAAAAAAAGTGAATAGGCTTTGATGTGTGCCAGTAATATTGGTGGTTTTCTTTATTTCCTACTTGAAAAAACTTGGGCGAACAATATCTAAAAAAAAAAAAAAAATTATATATTCATATTATCTAGGGTTAGACTTAGTCTTAGGGCTGGCGTCATCACGAGTGATGATTTAGACCTCAGAGGGTTAAATGGTTTGAGGCTTCACTGGATCCTTCAACAGGGCAACTATGGAAAATGGTAGAATATAATAATCACATCATGAAAGTGTTACTTGCAAGTTTTTTTGGGCAACTCTGTTATGCTTTCATGTCAGTATGAACCAAAATTGGAAATTTTACTTTGAACTCTTTGGGCACAAAGAGTTTGATGGCTCAAAAGGGAACACACTGACACAGAGCTGAGCAACAGCAGCAATCAGGGACATTAAAAGAGGACTTTTGATTAAATGAGAAAAGTCTCAGAATTATTTAAATGGATTGCATCTGTTATAGTCACAGGCTGTGTGATTACCCAGCTCCTTTTCCCAAGCCAGTGAGCTTTAAAAGTGTAAATATATGAAACCAAGCCAAAGAAAGAATAGTGTGAGTTATGTATTTAGGTTTTCTGCTAGACAGCAGGGGAACTCTAAGTGGAGGTTGTGTGCATGCTTTGGGCACTGGTAAGTCACACTCTCATGCTTTTGTTTCTTAGTTCTCAGCTATTCCCAGGCGAAAAGTTGAATTGCACACCTCCATGCAGTTTCCTCATCAACATTCCTGTATATTTAAAGACTTCTCACTCTATAGTCTCCAAAATACCCTGTGTTGTGTTCTGAATCGTTTCAGTTATCAATATCTTTAGTGTTTGCTTTCCTTCAAGCCAGCTTTTGAGTCCTTCAAACTGGAAAATTATGACAGCAGGGGTTTTCCCAACAGTAGGTTACAACAAACTAGATGCATGACACTACTTTGATGCATTGAAACGTTTTGCTTTTGCTTTAAACAGCTCGCAGCTTCTCAGGGCCAGTAATGCTAATATTATCACAGACAGATGGGCACAGTTTATTGTTCACTTTCTAAACACAGAGATCTTAATAATACACAATGCAACACACTTTAAAACCCCAACACATACTGTAAGTGTATAGCTGACCGTGGTATATTGTCTGTTGCCTATAGACTCAAAAACAGTGTAACTGAGTTTGTGGTTCAAACTGTTAAAGATAGTTTTTTGTTTTTTTTATTTTTATATTATATAATGTTTCTTATAAATGGAACACCCAACAAAATCCCAGCAGCTATGCTCTACAAGCTATAAATATAACTCTGTGGACATGAAAGACCAATTAAGATCAATTAAGTTTGCTGAACTTGCTGTACAAGGTAGAGATACGGTAAAACTAAGCAGGAAGAAGACAACACCCTTAAATATCAGCAGTACAGTCTAGAGCTGAGGGACTAAATAGTGTGGGAAATGCTTTGTTACAAAAGATCCAAATTTTGTTATTTTGGTAATGCGGCTGGTCAGATGTGGACAAAGCAGGGGGCTGGGTTAAACTGACCTAACATTTCTGGGGGTTGTTTTGTTTGTTTGGTTTTAATCTGGTTTGGTTGGTTCTTTTGGGAAGTGATGACCTTCTGCATAATTTTGGAGGTGACGCATTTCAAATTGTGTATGAGGGATTTAAATGATCCTAACAGTCTGACAATTTACAACAACTCAGATGTACTGTATGTTACTGCAGGGTGTAAGCTGTAGTTTTAGACATTTCTACCTTGTGGGCAGACACATATTTTAATTTCTAATTGTAAATTAAAACAATAAATATAATAAAATAAGGTCCCTCCCCCTCTCACCAGTCAGGTGAAAGGGGCTCTTCCAACACCAGCAAAAAGACCTGATGTAAAGAAATAGCAGCTCCATTCCTCACCCTGTCATAAACACACACTTACAGGTACACTGTGATGACTTTTGGCATAAAGGCAGTCAGGTTTAGTTCTCTATTGTTCTACAATAGAAATTTTTCTATATTAAGAGCTCAAACTATAAATTCTCTCGAGCTGTGACCATCTTAGTCCAGCATCACTGCACAGTGCAGGGTAACTCCAATCAGCAATCCTTATAACCAGGATATCAAGTAGTAGTGGGAATTAACAATCTCACCTCTGCCTGTAGGTGGCGTAGCACACCATTTGGTGTGGCTTGTTGTACTTCTGTTGGAGTAGAATGCTTAACTTTGTCTTCTAATCTTTCTGGCTCCCATATTGGGCATGTTTGTCAGGTCAGCAGCTGTCTATGGATCTTGCAATTTGTCTGTAATATTGCCATTGATCCAAGTGCATCCAACAGTTCTTCACAACTGTTTGCAGTGCACTGCACTTAGAAGGGACCTGCCCACTGTTTAGACTCCCACGTCTTTCTTCTCAAGTCTCTTGTTACAATGTAGTCACCAGTTTTGAGATCTTTTTGCTGGTTCTCTAAGAGCACTTTTCACCTGTGTCTAGATATCAGACAAAACAGAGGACAAAATTCCACAATACCAAAACATTTTATCTTCACAGGATTTTCTGTGAATGTTTCAGAAACATTGCCAAAATTGCCAAGTACATTACTTTCTCCACCACTGGGGCCTGACCGTTCCACGATAAAAATGGTGAAATCTGTCTGTGGAAGTATGAAAACTGACCATCAGTATGCTGTTTTACTACATATGTGGGGTGGGGCTATGACATCGCTGTTTGAATAGTTAATGATACAGAAGTGACGCAAGGGATGGGGCCTTAAAATATTACCCAGAGTGAAGGATGATGCCAGTGGACATGGGTAGAGGATGTTGTTGGCCCTTCAGTGCTGCCCTCTGCACTGCCACCTGAGGAATGTTGTGCTTGCCAGTGTCACTTGCAGCGCATTTGATATAGATCTACAGCCTAGAAGCACAAGTAAACAATTTTTCTCTGTCTGTGTTTCAGGCCACATAGGCTGATAAATGATGGTAGACTCAAATGCAGGAGTCAAGTGGATTCAATTATAATTTTTAATAGTCTTTATTTTACACAAGGAAGAAAAGTAGCAGTTAAAGAGGATTCTAAGGAGATCTGGGTTACTCTAACTAAACTAACTAGCTAGAGTATAGTTAGTTAGTCCAAACAGAAAGATAACGCATGGAAAGTCCCGTTGGTGAGTGGTGATGCGATTACTTACTTAGGGGCACTAAGAGTACTTTCTGAGGGAGAAGCCACTGGCTTGCGTTTTCACAGGAGAAAAGGAAGGTGAGCAGGCAGGTGGGTAAATGAGTTGAGTGCTCCAGAGAGGACCTACAGGCAAGGTGGACCATCTTAAGTGAGACAGGTAGGTATTTCATACTTCAACTCCAAAGGTTGTGTAGCCAACTGAAATGAGTTTGACATATTCATATACACATAAATTAAACAAAAACACTCATAGTTAAAGGATAACTTATATAATGGTCATAACTCAAAATAATTTGGCACTGTTGTTAACACATAAGAAAAAACAAAACAACATCTCAAAGTCATCACAAAAATGACAGAACAGTTGTTATCTAACTTACATTACTTTAGTGATATAAATGTAAGTTTTTCAGTACCTGTAGATAAATAGAGAGGACACCAAAGTTAGCATCTTTCCCAGGTCAGAACTCATGTATTTCTAAGCTGTGCATGTCTCTAGTGGTTCCCCAGTAGTACAACACCACCATCCACTGACAAAATGGGTTACAACCTCGGTACATAAACATATAACTGTGTTAGTGTTCACCTCCTTGACATCTGGAGATGTTAATCTATCTCTGCTGCTCTCTCACCTCACCTGTGAGCAATCAGCTTTTCTGGCTCATTGGCTCCTGCCATTCATTTGTGATCAAGCTGACTTTTTAATACTGGGACAAACATTCAGTCACTCCCCTCTATGACAGAGACACAGGAGTTGGTGCGTGGATGTTCACTGGTGGTTCACCAGCACTGATCTGGAGGCAGTTTCACTCCAGTCCAAACTCCTGGACCAACCCTCTGTACTGTGTCCAGATGCTGCAGGAAAAGGGAGCTAGAGTAGTTCTGTCAGATGCACAGCACTGAATTCTCACATAGATTGTACTGTTACATGACACAGAAAAATTCTGTCTCTGGAATGCAATGAAATGACAATTTTTCTTAATTTTTTAGAAAAACAAAACACTGATATATAAGAATTTTTTTTCCGTCCAAAAAATCTTATCTTGTGAAACTGAAGAGTCGCTCCCATCAGTTCTTTGAAGGAGTTTTGGTTCACATTCTCTTTCATCACTTTGTCATTATCACACATCAGTCTAGTGTAGCAGTCGGACTGTTTTCAGAGACAATGGCGTCTATCTTTTCTAACAAAGCTATTGTCTCTCTTCATACATCATACTAATTGTTTATGTGTGTTGTTGTTTTCAGCAAAACATTTCTTAACTTTCAAATCTGCCATTGCCAACTCAAAAGGCAACTTTAAAGAAAATAAACAATACTATACAAAATGAAAACCCTTCATTTGGTTACACCCAGTGATGCAATCAATGACCTCATGACTCTATATAAACAGGAAGTACTGGGGCGGCCCTTCCCATATACCTGTCTTAAATATAGGACCTGAATAAATGGACAAACATGGTAAGTATAACCAAAGCAACATAAAGAAACATAATTTACTGTTGAGTTAGTTAATAGGTATGCCCTCGTTGTCATCTGTTGTGATTTTATTTTGAAAGGATGCTTCCTGTTATGCTGCAGAGTGCACGCAAGAGTTCAATAAAAACTAAGTCTTGTTCCGGTGAAAAGCCGATGCCCCACGTGTGATTATTCCTCCGTCTAGACAATATAAGTAACTTCAATATTCATGCAGATTCTGCTGGAAGACCCGTCTCTGCTAACATTTACCAGACATTTGCCTGTGAACAGGAGAAAATTCAAATGACCTGATGTTTAGTAGTGTTTGCTTTAAAAAAACATATGCATGGATGTAATGGATGTAACTACTGCTACGATAAACAAACCCGGGATAGTGTGTTAAGCAAAGTTACACCAGCAATGTCTAAATTAAAGCATTATGGCTGAAGGTAAAATAACAAGAAAATAAATTATCAATATGGTTAAGGGACAAGTGGTAAATGAGTTCATGCCTAACCACTTTGTCACATTAGCTTACACCATCAAGTTAAAACTAATAAAGAAGTCACTGTTTCCTGTTGGCTCTCTGCCAAAACTCATGGAGGCTTAAAGCCACTCCTCTATAAGAGGAAATACATGTCAAGACACATTTACCATTTGTTCACTTTCAATACAATTTCACACCCATTACAAAGTCATATGCTTATTTATAAAATAAAGGACTGCAATGTTATGATGTAGTTTTTGCAGTTACTGTGGTTTTGGCAACTTGAAGTTAGTCTTTAATTTAGTTAGTTGCACCAGAGGAATACTCTAAAATAATTGAAATTTACTTTTTCCTTAATTCAAAACATTCTGTTGGACAGTAAATTAAAATACAGTTATTGTAGCTTTAAATTTACATGAAATCTTATTTTTGAAGATATTTATGTTAAAAAAAAGTATTTACATGTGTAAAACCAACAACAAACAGGGTGATGGCTGCATATTTGAGGTCTGAAAACGTTCAACTGGTGACATTTAAACATTAAATCTTAGTGTTGAACAGCCAAATAAATTAGATGTGGAAGTCTCTTTCATTTGTTGGCAGTTCAAAGTCAAATTAATTTGAATGATTAAACATTCTTGGTGTGTGTTTGGTGTTCTAATAGCTGCAATTCCAGCAGAATAAAAGAGATTTGGCAGCAGATTAGACTCAAGTATAGAACATCTAGTCTAAGGAGCTCGGAAAGAAAAGCATCTAGACTTCTTTTAGGTCCAGACACTTTTCTTTCTGAACCTTCACAGACATATAGAAAGTGAACTTTTCTACATGAACTTTGTGGCTTTTGGGTTTAGTTGCATTACACTTGAACTGCTGCCTACTGCCTAACAAAAATATTTTATTTTTTCTTTATCTCATCTGCCTTTGCGCTTTGCATTTGGGCCATGTTTCTTGCTGAAAACTGTGACAGCACCTTTGTACTTGCCCTGCCCCCAGAGTTAACTGGGTGACAGGTGAGATTCTTCTTGTGCAACAGATCCAGACTTGCTTGTTTTCTGCAGAGTCACCGCACAAAGTAAGTAAATCTGATAAACTACCTAAAACTCCAAAGTAAACTGTATAAAAATGATTTTGTCATTGTCAAATAATGAACTATTTGACAATGACAAATTTCTATGAGTGCTGTGTTAACATGTGTGCTTTGAATCAACAAACAGTGTCAAGCTGAAACTGGGTTTGGTGCGTTTGCGCTGCTGCTGTGCCACTACTCATCCTTTCATATTTGCCACTTCAGTTGGTCCTTGTACATTTTAGTGAGTTTATGGCCTTACTGATAGCACTGTCTTATATACTTTATATTATGATTATGAGTGCAGTCAGTCCTATTTAATGCTTAAATGGCGTATGAATAGCTTAGCATAAAATTAAATTGCATTTTTTACCATTTTGGATTGAATCCTTTTTTTTTGCAGTGGTATTTTGTGTTGGGTATACACCCTCTACAAATCACAGAAATTACAAATGGATTAGGATTTGAAATAAAATTACTTTAATAGGAAGGTAAACGAACTTCCTTCTTTTCTTCATTCTTCAGCTGTAAATCAGCAGAGATGGCAGAGCTGATGGAAAATGAGGTAGTGAGGGCTTTCAGCACATATGCAGTTATTGTTGTTGTGAAGATGCTACTGATGGGGCCAATGACTGGATACTACCGCTTCACCAGAGGGGTGAGTTCAAATGCCAGCATGTTCTATATTTTGGGTATTTCTCTGTAACATTAGCTTAGTTGCTTTTTTGTCCTGGTTTTATAAAACTGCAAGTTCAAAATTTACAAGACTCATGTTGGTTTAAGAAAAATAAAGAATTACATGACTAAAGAATAAAGAAATGCATAACTGCTCCCGAACCATCCTCACTTCTCAGTGTTGATCCTTTCAACCTGATATATTATTGTGATAAGTCCTGGTAGAAACAAACACTTGTATTCTCTATTTTTTAAAGTCTTTCTCTAATGAAGAGGATGTAGCCAGAAAGTCTGCAGAGGAAAAGAAGAAGCTGCTGAAAACTCACCCAGATGTAGAACGAGTTCGAAGGTGAGATAATCTGGCCCTAAAATTCGGATACTACAGAATCCTGATGTGTCTTTAGAACACAGGTGTCGAACTCCAGGACTCGAGGGCCGGTATCCTGCAGGTTTTAGATGTGTCCTTGATCCATCACAGCTGATTTA